TTGTTAGCTGCAATATTATATGTATTTTGAAAGGACGTTACAATGAAGGCTACAAAGAAGTTTACGTCTTGTGTGCAAATTTCTGGTGTTGATATTTTTGTTTCTGGCGAGTGTCTCGATTATGATGTTTTGGTGGGGCTTAATGTTTGTGTGTGAATAATGTCAGCCTGAAAATTCGTCTTGAAAAGGATATTGTCATCTATCGTACTCCTTACCAACTAGCCGCCAATGAAAAGGATGCTAGAAAATAAAATCATACGACCAGTGAACATACCGAAGGAGTCCCTTCATCCGTCGCATATGGACTGTTTGGGTCCTTTATCAGCTTCAACTGATGATTATAAGCACGTTTTGGTAATGGTGGATGCTTTTACCAAGTACTGCATTTTGATGCCTATGAAGTCTGCGACAACTGCAGAGGAGCGTGAAAAGCTGCAGAATGTTCTAGCGCTGTTTGGAACTCACAGATGCACATAAGCAAGAGCGACTAGGAGTTTCTTGATCCTTATGAAGTGGTTAAGTGCTTGGAAAATGGACGTTATGAGATTAAGAAGGTTGGAACAACCATCATAACAAAGGCAGCTAAGGAACACCTAAGATCATGGCCTGTACAGTGGTACTCCAATGTTGATGTGGGAGATATACTTGAGTTTTTTGAGGCTTAGGAAGAACCACGTCAGTAAATTTCTGGTTCCATTCTGCGATGTGCTGTATTGCTTAATGTTGGTCTCTATCTCGTCAGAAGTAGAGCCAAATGGAGGCCGAAATCTCCATGAAAACTGCAACCTGGTCTCTGTCTCGTCAGAAGTAGAGTCCGCTGAAGGCTGCGGTCTTCAGGGATGTTGTAACATGGTATCTGTCTCGTCAGTAGCAGAGCCAGCTGAAGGCTGAGGTCTTCAGGGATACTGTTGTTATGGTCTCTGTCTCGTCAGCAGCAGAGCCAGCTGAAGGCTGAGGTCTTCAGAGATACTGTTATTTTGGTCTCTGTCTCGTCAGCAGCAGAGCCAGCTGAAGGCTGAGGTCTTCAGGGATACTGTTATTTTGGTCTCTGTCTCGTCAGCAGCAGAGCCAGCTGAAGGCTGAGGTCTTCAGGGATACTGTTATTTTGGTCTCTGTCTCGTCAGCATCAGAGCTAGCTGAAGGCTGAGGTCTTCAGGGATACTGTTATTTTGGTCTCTGTCTCGTCAGCAGCAGAGCCAGCTGAAGGCTGAGGTCTTCAGGGATATTGTAAGATTGGTATCTGTCTTGTTAGTAGTAGTTAGTAGTACTGAAGTTTTAGAGTTGTTATTTTAATGAGACGGTCGTCGCCGTCACTGTTAAAGGTTTATTTAATTGAATTTACGTGCAAATCTGTAATCGAATTGTGAATTTTGGTCTTAGTATCGGTAGTGGTTGATTCAGATTTGAATCATATTTGTGAGATAATATTTGTGGCAAGTGCATGGAGCGTTTTGTATATAATAATAATAATAATAATAATAATAATAATAATAAACGTATTTATTTCCAAATAGACTGAGTATATAAAAAATAGCCAAATCTCTTCCACTTAACCCGCTTTTGATTCACAGATTCGGCCTGTGGTGGAGAGGGCATCGAGAACGTCTCAGGAGTCAGGAAGGCCGTGTAAGAAACGCTGCCGGTCACGAAGGGGTACTGCTGTCTAATTGCTGCTCTGATAGCTAAGGGAACGACGATCGGCCGCCGACTCTGGCAGAGCGAGCTGTAACGTTGAGCAGTGCACATCATGCTCGGATAATCTGCCGCTCCGAAATTACGTTAAATCGTTGTGCTATTATTATTGTTGTTAATACAAGTTGATTGGTGGAAAATTAGTGTTTGACTATCCGTGTTTCTAACAGTATGTATGCATGTAACGGAATTTTTGAGCATAATTTTCAAGAATTTCAAGAAGGTTGATTAAATTGAAACTTCCCACACGTATCAAGGACTAAAAACAGTGCAATAATTTGATAACAGTTTTCCATTACTTAGTCGTGTAAGATCTTTAGACGCTATTCGGATTGAAGAACTTGATTGCACTAAGTTAACAGGAAAAAAGCCATGCAACAGTGAAGCTTCAAATGAAATTATTAGATTACGAGATGATTCGTAAGACATTTCAGTGCCAGATATCCACACAAAACTAATTTATAAATCGATCTAAAAATGAAAAATAACTAATAGTTTAAAAAACTAAAAAACACGCTTTTATAGCTAACCGCACTAAAAAGTAGAAAATAATTTTTAATTGGAAAGAGTTTATATTACAGTAGTAGACGTTCGAACAATCAATCATAATTAATGACCTCAAAATAAGATTATAATAAAATTTAAGTTATTAACAGAACAATTCAATTCAGAGTAAAAAGCGTGGGGTGCATTTTACTACATTTTCATAACTCTCCTCTCATAGATAGTTGCCAATAGAATGATTGCACTGATTGCACCTGAAATATCAGCTGGAGGAGGAAGAAAGGAGGAGGAAGTTTTAGTGGAAGAAATAGAGAGAAATTTGGCCGGCTTTATTTGCCATAAATTGCAGGAGGAGAGATTGAAAAGTTCCTCAAATGAAACTTATTCCTGGATAGACCATCTTAGTGAGGGTGGATTATCAAAACCTTCCACAGTTTTCATGAATCAAATTGAGATGCTGAACAAGGTGTTTACTACATTCAATGGGGACGGAATTAGTAACAGAAAAGCAAAATTTCATAGGGGAACTTCTGCTGAAGAGCAGCATCATTGACTGCCCTGAAAAAGCTAAAAAGCTATTTTTAGATGAATGATGTTCTTCCGGATCAAAGAACTGAATAAAAGTTTAAAAAACCAGAAAAGACTAAGTCATTTCCATTTATTGTTATACCGCCAGCTTACTGCAAAAGAATATAATTTTTCTACTTTTCGAGTTGCGTACATTTTCACACTTACATGTACTTAGGATGTTCTGTGAAATAAGTATAAATGTAGTGCAGTATTAACGTCATGAACATGTTAATCCTGCTCCACATAAGGAAGCCGTTTAAGCTATAGCCTGTGAAGTTTTGTTTGGTATAAAATTTTAATTTAGCTCGCCCCACGAATGCAACGGCACCTCATATGTGAAAATCCGTCCAGCTGTTTGACCTTTAGGTGAAAATATGCACGTTATCTATATCAACCCAAATGACAATCACTCTCAGCGTGACGTCATGTGCGCCGGCGGACAAAAATCGAACAGCCGAGCATCCGGCACTGGCATCCACCTTAGTCGCTACACTATGGACTCAAAGGCGAGTTTCATAATATGCTAGGCTCACAATATGGATGCACATATATACATGCTAACGGTAATTACACAGAACGCGAGCGCGGTGTTGATTTCCAGTAATTCTCCTCAAAGTTTTTCGTAATTTATAACTTTGAACATTACCTGTCTTCAAAAAAGACAATTTATAAATAACCCGTCGGGCACAGCTAATAGATATGCTTCATTGGCAGCATATTCAGTAATGATTTTACACACAGCAAATATCACTGGTTTTATACACATGCAAATCAATACACATAATCATCCAGATGCGATCTTGCTATTCAACCAACTTTCTTCTCGGAGATAAAAACTACAGACACAGACCACTCGGCCACAAAACATATGCAACCAACAGTGCGTGTAGTTTAGTTGAGTGATTCCTCCATAGATGGACGTTCACAACGATCCTAGTGAGCAAACATGGAATGACTGTTTGCGTCCTAAAAACTACCTTATACGTTTTATTTTTCATGTTTTATAGGTTTTTTACATGCTACTCGTGCCGATCACAACCAAAGAAGTTGCACCCTCAATACCTATATTGCTATTGGGAATATCGCTAGAGAGCAATGTCTCACTAGTTGCTAATATATAAAAATTCTCAGTTTTTGGTATATCCGTGAAAACATGGAAACCCGACAAAAGGGGCAGTATATTTAAATGTCCTCCCTAATTTCCATAATTAAACCTATTCCTAAGATTATGATAATGACAAACGAATAATGTACTTGACTTGTCACTTGCTATACGGGCTACATCAGATTTTGTATTCAACCTAGCATTGTGATTGATGCAGTTCTTACATTTTTCTGTATTAGCTTTACAATCCATAACATGGTTTTCTGCACATTTAAGGCAAGATATAGTCTGTACTTTACAGTTTTTTGTATTATGCCCAAACGCATAAGAATTAAGGCACTGTAGAACATTTATGTGGTCTGAGACGTAATGTTTCATTCAACCCAGGTAGAGAAAACCCTTATCAATACTATTCTTTCTTACCGTTGGTGAAACTTTCATTACCAGATGCACTTGGTTACTCGTCTTGGTTTTCAGCTTTGTAACTATCTTCATTGTTGACATTTTTTTTTTGTTCGCCTAAGTCATTCAACATCAGAACCTTGCGGAGTATCTTTGTGTCATCGCCGAGGTCGTTATCCAATGTAACATTCTTGATAAGCAATCGGGGTATGACGATAATAAACAGTACTGTTGGTGCCATCTGTTGGCAGACTTTCCTCCTCGCCAGAGCTTCGTGGCCGGTCTCTGTTGGGGACCGTGCCAGTCTCCTTTGGTGGCAACATGTGTTGATGACCATACCAGTGACTCGCCTTCTGGATCGACGCGAAGTGACCTCGAATATTCTAGATGCCGCTTTGTGGTTCGCCAGACTCTCGAATCAGCGATGGGGACTATACAGTCCGGCCGAAAAATCGAAGCAGAGTACAGTAGAGTAGAGCAGAGTGGACTATAGTGCAGTCAATAGGGCGACATAAGAATTAGTTTGACATAAATACTGGTGTACATAAATGTTCTATCTAGTCAAGTAAAATAAATTTGTGCATTTCTTTTTGTGGAATCCAGTATTTTAATCCACACCCAAAAGAACCCAGAAAAACGCTACATTGGTGTCAGGTGTGGGGTGTGGATTATTCGACATTTAATGAAAATAAATCGGACGATCAGTGAAGGAAGAATGGCGCGATTGGTTGGTTAGAAAATTGCCGATTTAAAGAAAGAGCTGGAGGACAGAGAGTGCGACACGGCTGGAAAGAAAGCAGAATTGCGGCTTCGTCAAGCACTGATTAAGGAAGGTGAGGACCCGGACATTTTCATTTTTACCGGTGCAGGGGATATTGGTTTAATGCTGCAAATCCTTTCTACCAAGTTAGAAAACAAGGTCGTGGAAAATTGTGCCAACCTAGAAGGAAAACTCATTGAAAATTGTACCGACCTTTTAGAAAACTCAGCCAAGCTAGAAAAAAGGTCCGTGGAAAATTGTACCAACCTAGCAGGAAAGCTCTTGGAAAATTGTGGCGATCTTTCAGAAAACTCAGCCAAGTTAGAAAATAGGCTAGTGGAAAATTTTGCCAACCTAGAAGGAAAGCTCATGGAAAATTGTGCCAACCTAGAAGGAAAACTCTTGGTGTTACACGAAGGTACAGCCAAATTAGAAGAGAAGTTTCTGGAAAATACTGCCAATTTAAAAAAAAGAATTGGAATATAAAATTATGGAAAAATTTTGCGAGTTGGAATAACGGATTTTAGAAACTTTGGAGGATAGAATTCAAGAAGTGCAAGGCAAGTTTGCCACTTTTGACATCAATCCCATCGACGAACGACAGCGTGGACTTCCGTTGGAAAAATCAAGTGAGGTTGGAGCTTCTGTTGGGTCAGCTGGCGAATGAAACTCCTCGATTTGATGGTACAACGCCTTGGAAAGTCTACCGACGTCAGTTTGAGGCAGCTTCGAATGCAAATGGTTGGTCATCGATCGAAAAGGCAACTGCATTACGATGAGATGCTACAGCTATTCTTCAAAGAGTATCACCCGAAGAGCAAGAGGTCTACGAACAACTAGTAGGACATCTGGAAATGCTATATGGCCAGTGACATTTAGAACATGTCTACCATACTCAACTAAAGAATCGGTTCTAGAAGTTAGGCGAGTCCTTGCAGGACTTCGAAGCGGATATTGCGCGGTTGTTACGATTAGCATATCCCGATGTTTAGGAAAGGATAATAGAGCGATTGGCAGTTCAAGCATTCCTGGATGGACTTCGTGATGGTGAAGTGATGCAAGCCTTACTACTGGCACATCCACCTAAGCTAGTAGATGCGCGAACTCGGGCCTTAGAATTCGAAGCCGCTAAAAACACAAATAAAAGCCAGGTCCGAGTCCGCCATATGGCATCAAGAGATAACGAGTTCGAAGAGTCCGACAAGCGCATTTTTAAGGAACTTTATGGTGAACGTCACCGCCAGAACAGCATTGGAAATGTGGACAAATAGGGCACGTTAGGAGACGCTGCCCTGAAGATGCTAGTCCTCATCCGGCCAATCCGGAAAGCTAAGGCAAGTCGATGTGAAGGGGCTGTCGTCGACCTGTAGCCAACAAACCCCATCAGTTAATACCGTCCAAGTCTTCTCGCTTAAACATCAGTCTAATAGTGCTTTTGTCGATGCTTTTGTGGATGGGACTCTCCACACCGTACTGCTGGATACAGGTGCGACAAAGACTATCATAAGGCCCAACATGGTGAAAGCATCGGCGAATATTTGACCATCAAAATGGCGACTACGAACGGTGACGGGAGACCGAGCATCTGGCGATAGTAGCTGATATTGAGGACTAGGTAATCATCGGAATGGACATCATGGACATAAAGAGCTTCGAGTTGAACTTTAAGCAAGGATTTTTGATAGTCAAGAATGAGGTCATATTACACTGGGAAAGGAATGGAAACGTACGAGTTATATTGCCTGAAGACACCGTGATCCCAGAACGAAGCAAAGTTGTATTGAATGACTCGGTAAACCGCTAGACTACAGACGGAGAAATAGTCATCTTTGAACCTAGGATGCATGACGAGGCTATTAGCCAAGGGATAGCCGTCGCAAAAGGCCCTTGTGCGTGCGGATAAATCTATTCCTGTAAGACTAATGAATGTCAGTCATTACCCTGTGTCATTGAAGAAGGGCTCGGAGCTGGAACACTGCTGTCCAGTTTCTGGATTCATTCGAAATACGCCAGCTGTGGAACACTCAGGGATCATTCCTAAGGAACTGATATCGTCATCAGGCAGAGATCTAAGATCAGGCCAAACAAAGAAACTGAAACATCTAATACTCGTATATAGATATCGGGATGTATTCGATACTGGACAAAAAGGAAGAACCAATATAGTCCAGCACAAGATCAATACGGAAAATGGGAGGGAATCATTGAACACTCCAACAGTCCATGGGCCTCATCGGTAGTTTTGGTTAAAAAGAAAGATAGTTCAACCAGATTTTGTGTGGACTACCGGATGTTAAACATCGTGACCAAGAAGGACAGCTACCCTCTACCGCGTATTGATGACACTCTGGATACCCTGGCTGGATCATAAATGTTTTCCACCCTAGTCCTAAAAAGCGGATACTGGCAAGTAGAATTGGCCCCTAAAGATCAGGAGAAGACAGCATTCACCGTAGGCACCGGATTATGGCAGTTTAATGTGATGCCATTTGGCCTGCGCAATGCTCCTGCCACCTTTGAAAGGCTGATGGACACGATTCTAAGGCGCGAATTACACTGAAAAGGCGTAAGGTGAAGGCGCGGCGCAGGCATCTTGGCGCTTCAAAGGTTTTCAATACAAAATGTAGGTAGGCGACACGTTGTGAATTATACTCAAGCGGCGTGGCGCAGGCACGTCGTTTCGTCACCTGTTCCGCGTCGCTAGCAGTCGCGACTGGAGTGCTGCGCAAGCAATACGTCGTTTGTTATACAGGAGGAGCAAAAATGCGTGACGATAGTGAATTTAACTTAGTTCTGCGAGATAGTTGAACAATATCCAGCTCTTTACGATTATAATAAGCCGGAGTACTCTAATAAAAATATACAAGACAAAATATGGAGAGAAATAGGATTAAAACTAGGTGCAACAGGTAAGTACTTTATTTTTATTTATTAATTATGTCTATTTTGAAATGGAATCGGAGATCGAGTTGTCATGTATGTTGTAAGATATTCTCTGATGATTTTAGGATCTTCCCTTGTTTGTTGCACGTTGATGTTTGTTCCTATTAAACTGTTATTAAAACGTGGAACCACGAGTTTCCCATCATATTTGCGGATAACATTATGCAAAACGCTCATAGCTTTTATAATGCTATCGACATTTTCTGGATCGCAGCAAACAGATGTGCTAAGGACGCTAAATTTAGTCCTTATCATACCAAAGGCACATTCCACTGATTTTCGTGCCCTTGACAATCTGTTATTAAATGCTCTTCTCTCATTTGTTAACTGATTTCGGCCATACGGTTTCATTAAGTTTTTCTTCAGAGGAAAAGCTTCATCAGCAATAAAATAATAGGGCACCATATTCGTTTCTCCAGGCAATGGAGTAGGGTGTGGTAAATTGAGGTTTCCTTGTTCCATAGCTTGCCCAAAGTAACTTTCTTGGAATGCACGCCCGTCACTGTTTCGGCCATATTCGCCGACGTCTATAGTTAAAAACAGGCCATCTGATCTACTACTGGCATCAATACGATAGAGAAATATCCTTTATAGTTTATGTAAGCTGAGCCAGAATTTTTGGGTGCTTTAATTCTTATATGCTTTCCGTCTATACTTCCTACGCAATTTGGTAAATTCCATAAAGTGTAAAAACGTTGAGCAACTTCAAGCCATTTTTGTGTTGTAGGTATTGGCATATATTCCGGCTGTAAATATTCCCACAGTACACGTGAAGTTTCTTGTACGATTTTTTGAACGGTAGTGCTGCCTCTCTGAACATATGTAGAAAGCGATTTAAACGAACATCCATCTGCATAGTATCTGTAACAAAAAAATATAGTTATAATATGTACACGAAACTGAATCGCGCTTGACCAAAAATGAAACTTAAGCCCTTTCGCACACGACAGTATTGTATTCATGTAATTGTCTGGTGACACTTTCTTACATCACATCCATCATCCATCCCTTTCATGCGTCGGATGTTAAAAATAATAGTATATAGATAGATACATCTATTCATTTACAAATAATAATTTAATTTACTGTGTGTTGATTTGTAAAACAGCACCCAACTCAGGGTGCTTTCTACTCTTCAATACGAACAACTTTTACTATGGGACCAACTGAAAAATCTTAGAAAAACAGCTGTTCCATGCTAAAATTTGATACCTACTGAACAAAATGTATATAGAACAGCTGTTTTTTTCAAAGATTTTTAAGCTGCTCCCATAGTAAAAGTTGTTCGTATTGATGAGTAGAAAGCGCCCAGTCGAAGTTGTTATACAAAACAACAATAGGTATTATATCATCGAATAAAATTATTGGTTTTTGTTTCAGCTAAAGACTGCAAAGACCGATGGAAGAACATCAGATGTAGTTACTCAAAGAATAAGAGAAACATGAGTGCTCCATCTGGATCTGCTGCGAAAACACCTAAAGAGTACTACCTTGCACCAAACTTGCGTTTCCTAGACAGTTTTTTAAAATCCCGACCCTCTAAAGGCAATTTGGGGAACGATGCAGACCGAATCGAAGATGAAGACGATTTGACATGCATGTCTGCTGGCTCACCTGCAGGTGAACGGCAGGCGACTGATTTTATCACGCCACAACATTCACAGCCGCCACCAAAAAATAAACAGATTCGTATAAGTGATGTTAATAAGACAGCGCACGAATACTTCACCCTAAAAAATAAACAAATAATTGCACGACAACAAAATATGGACGAAGGAACAAAAGTAAAAAATAAGGACGACATGGCCTTTTTCCGCAGCATGATGCCAGATGTGCAAACAATGAATCAAGACCAAAAACGAAAATTGAAATTGGGCGTACTTAATTTAATTGAACAAATTCTAAAAGAGCCAATCACTAGTCGTATTTCATGTCCGAGAAGTATAACTCCTTACCAAAGAACTCCATCACGGGAGTCAGAGTATAATTCACCTGCAAATGTGGGATCTTATGGAAGTCCAACGGGATCTTATGGAAATCAATCACCTCAGCAGACACATACGTCTGACGCATATGGAGGTCTGACACTTCAGCAGACACATACAACTAGCGGATACGGAGGTCTGACACTTCAGCAGACACAGCCGACACTTCAGCAGATACAGCCGACACTTCAGCAGACACAAACGACTGGCCATTGTTTTCTCCAGTTACTTCGGTTTCACCTCCGTCACACCAAAGAATTGAAGCAGAAAGTCAACCTCACGATGGTGATGTGAATGATTCCAATTATTAATTTTTGCGGTAATGATCAGAGATCGGAATTGGGTGTGTGAAAATACCTAAACTTTGCAGCTGGACATAATATGGAACTGTTACAACCACTTAAGTTGAACCAGTTTTGAATTTTACCGGTTCAGTTTCAGCTTTTTTGTTTTACATCTTCCCGCTAATACAGTTTTAAAATAATTTTGGTTTTGAACTTTTCCGGTTCAAATTCGGTTTTTTAGTTCTACTCGTTCTTTACATAGTTTAGTTTATAGTTGGGTGTTTCAAAGTTAAGGAACATGTAAAACAAAAAAACCGAAACTGAACTGGTAATATTCAAAACCGGTTCAAATTAAGTGGTTGTACTCCATGTTATGCCCTGCTGAAAACTTTAGGTATTTTCTTTCACACACCCAATTCCGATCTCTGGTATTGATAGATAGCAAACAAGTCCTCCTGATTGTCAAATCTTAGTCCAGTTTTCTACTCAAACATCAAACAAATAAAAGTATATAAAAATGCCAAAGATGTTTTACTAACCTTAATGTTATCAATAGTCTTTCTTCAGGACAGATCGGTTCTCTCCAATTTGTATGCTTCTTCTGAAGACCGTGTCTCACTTTCGACAATACAATGTGGAAACATTCTAGTGACATTTTATACACTGTAGGAAAACGATCAGGATATTCGCATAATTTTTCCATCATTTTAAAATATCTATGCTCTTGTGACATTCTCCACACAGGGTGCACCCAATATCTTCGGTGTCTCTGCACATTAATGAGTTGCAGCAAAGCCAACGCATCTTCGTCGTCTGAAGAGGAAGACATGCTATCACGATAAAGTCACCCTATGTAATGACTTGTTGTGCCATCTCTTCGCCTCTTTGATATAATTTAAATCGCATCCGTGCCTTATCTGTGCCACGCCTGCTCTGCGTCTGCGCCGCGCCTTCACCTTACGCCTTTTCAGTGTAATTCGCGCCCTAGAGGAGGTAGTGTCTTAATTGGTATTCGTAATCAACTTGCTGCATCAGAGGTAAATATGACTTTTATCAGAGACGATATTCCCAGTATTGACATAATTGGAATCAAACTTAGATATAAAAATGAAGTGACTTATTTCTTTGTGATATACATACCGCCTGATACGAGTACTTCCTGCTATGAAAGATTCTTTGAACATCTAGAATCGCTTGATTACCTCTTTGGCAAAAGTATTTATATACTAGGTGACTTTAATGTTCCCGAATTTGTTAATGAAAATCACCTCCAATCTTCTCACAAGCAGAAAACAATTCAGTCATTTATGGATTTCTTCGATCTTTCTCAATTCAATGATGTTCGGAATGAAAATAATAGGCTATTAGATTTAGTGTTATCAAATAAACAATGTAGCGTCGTTAAGGCTTATGATGACCTACTACCTGAAGATGTTCACCATGCTCCGCTTGTCATGATAATCAACATGAGCTTCCATTCTAAAAAGAGTATCAAATGCGCCAGAGAATCATATAATTTCAGAAAAGCCAATTTTGTAGCACTATATGAACAAATAAGCTTGGTTAATTGGACGTTTCTTGACAATTTAACAGATGTAAACGTAGCTTTGGAAACATTTTATAACATTCTTCGTAAAATTTTTAATATGTGTGTCCCTAGGACAAGTCTCAGATCTCTCAAATTTCCAGTTTGGTTTAACGGTGAAATGATTAGAGACATTAAAAGAAAAAATTTGCTACACAAAAAGTTTAAAAAGGATAAAAGTTTGATCACATACACTGAGTTCAAAGACTTAAGGACCAAAATTAAGCGCGATGAGCGTAACGCATATCAAAAATATCTAGTAGATATCCAAAGTAGACTATCTCAGGATCCGAACAATTTCTGGTCATTTATCTGTAATAAAAGGGGACAAAATTCCACAATCAGCCAAGTAAACTATAATGGTAAGCAGTATGACAAACCCAATGAAATTGCTAATGCTTTTGCGCTATTTTTTCAATCTGTATATACTATGCCTTCGAACGCAACTGATATCAATATTTCGGACTTGCATACTAACATAATACTTCAGAGCTTTTCCGAAGAAGAAGTTTTTACAGTGTTAAAGCAAATGAAAAATAAATTTACCTCCGGACCCGATGGAATTCCATCGTTTTTAGTGCGTGACTGTGCCTACGTCTTAGCTCATCCCTTGACAAAGATCTTCAACCTATGTTTAAAGACTGACACGTTTCCTGAAATTTGGGGCGAATCAAAGGTGCGTCCCATTTTCAAGAAGGGTGATAGACTACAGGTTGAAAATTATAGACCGATAACCCTAGTATGTATCTTTTCCAAGGCCTTAGAAACTTTGCTTCATAATTTCCTATACCACAATACACATGCCCAAATAAGTACTTCTCAGCATGGCTTTATGAAGGGTAGATCAACCATAACTAACCTAGCCTGTTTTACTCAGTCAGTCTCCTCTGCATTAGATGCTAATAGCCAGGTGGATGTAATTTATACAGATTTTAGTAAAGCATTTGACAAACTTGATCACAGTATTCTGTTAACGAAGCTGAGCTATTTTGGATTCTCCCCCAAGCTGTTATCCTTTCTTAAGTCATATCTATCAGGAAGAAAGCAATATGTTGAATATGAGGGTGTCAAATCCATTGAATTCTTTCCAACCTCAGGGGTACCTCAAGGCTCCTGCTTAGGTCCTTTGCTTTTCATACTGTTCATAAACGATATTGTTAGCGACATCGACAGCAGCCACTTAATCTATGCTGATGATCTGAAAATTTTTTCCAATGTCGACTGCAGCACTGACTGCTCACTTACAAAAAGACCTAGCCAAAATATTTAAATGGTGTGCTGTAAATCGACTTCCAATTAACTACAGTAAGTGTAGTGTTATGTCTTACACCAGAAAGCTAGATATTATTACATTTGACTACAGAATTGGCAATCATTCTCTGCTGAGAGTACAAGAATGCAAGGACCTGGGTGTGATTTTCGACATGTCACTTAGCTTCAATCCTTATATTGAGTACCTTATTAATGCTGTCAACAGATTATTAGGATTTGTAATACGTAACTCAAAGGAATTAAGTAACAAAGATGCCATGAATATGCTTTATAATTCATTCATACTGTCTAAATTAGAATATGGACGGCTAATATGGAATCCATGCTATGTTACAACTTGTGGCTCTCTGGAGAAGATTCAGCGGAAATTTCTGAAATTTCTTTCATTCAAAATTGACGGTACGTACCCACCCATTGGGGTCCCACAGGAAGACCTGTTACGGAAGCACAAGTTTATCAGTCTTGATAACAGAAGAAAGATTCACTCGCTAATATTCCTGCATAAGGTAGTGCATAGCAGTTATGATTGTCCATCATTTCTAGCACAGATTAAATTTAATGCTCCAAAATTTGTTACTCGCAATACACTCACTTTTTACCTACCTACCCCACGAACTAACTTACTGTTGCACTCACCTTTGTACTCGATGTGTTCATGTTATAATAGTCTACAGAGTACATTTGATTTGTTCAACACAAATATTTCTAACATTAAGAGAGTTTGAAGTGAAATGATTTAGTTTTTAGTTTTCGTTGTATTTTTATATGTTTTTTTTTACTATTTCTATTGTTGTTTTGCCACCAGTAATTGGTTAACACTGTTGGTGGTGGATTTCAATAAATAAATAATAAATAAATATATGGAAAAAAAATAAGTAAAACTCACTTTTGATATAGTAATTTATGTCTCAGTTCAATTCAATCAGTTCAATTTGATTTGAAGTAATTGTCAATTCCTTCTTGAGATTTTTCATATATGCTTTCAGCCTTTGTGCACATTAATTTGTGCGTATTGCTAAGTCTTGAGCTATAGATTTTGAAATATCTGGTGATTTTGCTTTTGCATTATTGCATTTGTTTTGATAGTCTGCTCTCATAGTTTTTTCCGACTTCTTATTTCTTTCAATTTCTGTCTTGGCTTGAAGTAATCGCCAATTCTTATAGATTCGGTATAGTAATTCTCTTTTCATACTTTACACTGGTAAATTATTATAGTTTTTCTAATCTTATTTTATAATCGTATTTCATATTTGAACTTAACTTTCATTTTACAATGATATGGTTATTCTCAGTGTAGACTTTGAAGTGCGCTGATGATATCAGTGATCTACATGAGAATATTCCATAGACTATAGACATTCTTGTCTAGGGCTTTGGAGTGCACCTATGGTGACCCTAAAAAGTTGTCTTTCTCTCATATTTTTGCTTTAAATCAAAAATTCGAATTCTTACCTATCATATTTATTCCTATTTCTTGTTCACTAGATTGTTTTTTTATAACTCCAATTTTGCACCTACATATATCGTAGACTTTTGCATACAATTTTTGCTTGCGGCATTACTCTCATGTATCATGATTTATTAAAATATCTTGTGATTTTCGTTTCGCTATTTTGCATTTTACATATGCTCACTTCGTTTCTCATTTATTACTCATGAAACTTTTAATATTTTGCTTACTTTTGTATTTTTTTGAGAATTCTTTATACAATCATGCTCATATAGCTTTGATATTTCCTTTCACTTTATGATTTTAATACTATTAGATTTACAGTTGCACTTGTGTTGCACTTAGTTTTTTTTTTTTTGGAAATTTATTTTGCTCTTTTCTATATTGAACTTCAGAATTTTTTTTTTGGTCTGGTTCTTATGTTGTCACATGACCCGAAAATTTTGATTGAACTGACTCTTGAACTTTAGTTCATTGATTGAACTTAAGCTATATTTTGACTTTGAAAATCTTACTTCAATATTTCATAAATGTCTCTTATATACTTTAATTCTTTGAAAACATTTTGAATTATTTTGTAGTATTACAGACTGCTGGCGCCCGACATTTTTTTTGTGGAATCAGAACTGCACTTAGTTAACATCTTTTTTGATTAAAATACCTTCTTGATCAAGTTTTCATTGGTTCAGTACTTGTAAATTGTTTTGTTATATGACTTGAATTCCTAGTAGAATTTGTTAATTTCTTTTGATTTTCATATTTTGAAAATAGTAATGCACAGTTTTTTTATATTGGATATTGGTTTAAAATATCACTGTAGATGATATTCTTTTTGGGTTTGGAGTATTGCGAGATAATCTGGCAATTGTTTTGAGGAAGATTATTATTATTTTTTTAGTACCTCTTATGGTTTAGGTACTTACTTAGTTTTGAAGTTTTTAGTAGTCAGTCGTGCATTTTGGATGCCATTGTGATTCCTCACTTCGTGCTTGGACTACTGCTGAAGCTTTTGGTTTATTATTTTTCTCGTCCTAGGTATGACGATGTTTTATGTTTTGGTTTGTTCATCATATGATGATAGTTTTTTTAAGTGCAACTTCACTGTACTTTTCAGGGAGTTGGTGCTATAACCATCCCTCTTGTTGAGGCTATCCCTTTTTCTTCCAATTCTCTTCTAACATTTTTGATTCTTCCTTACTTTTGCTACTTGTTATCTGGTCGAATGGTTGTACATTTGTCCTTCCGTGATAACTTTCAATTTCCTTGTCAAATAAAAAAAAATTCTTGAATGCTTCTTCGAATTTTTTTCTGGTTAAGTAGGGGCGAGTGTAACGGTTTCACCGTCCGATCGTATTTATTAAATCACTTCTCGATTATCATTTCATTAATCCCATCTCTAGCTTTTTTACTTTCCGCTTGGAGCGCGCTTGATGCGGAGTTCCTGATCTGCGACCTTCCTCGCGCTTTTTTTTCACTTGAGCCGCCGATCTAACAAGAGCTAAGAATTTTGTTCTCTGTAGCATGAGGTCATATATCGCCATGTGCTAGCGGTTTGTAGAATGTGTTTCCGAATAGGGCAAAATGATTGGGGCCACCCCCTTTCCCTTTGCCTTTGTCTTTGACTTTTGCCTTTGTCTTTGACTTTGCTTTTGCCTTTGTCTTTGACTTTGCATTGCTTGGCCTATCACTTCACCCATGCATGTGCCTTGGCAGCGCCATCACCTTTAAGTTCAACTTCGCCTACATCTAGTTTTGAAGCCACTAAATGTGATGTCACCCCTCATAACTGGGACCTCCACTTCAAGCACCTGGCCATCCTCGCTTCAGTCCAGTCCAACTGGACCAGCGAAAGATAAGATTATAGCAGCGCCAAAGATTTAAAACTTATTTTGTTCTTTAAAATTTCA